TTCTGGCTTGGGCCAGTACAGGCATGCGGCTGTATTTCTGGAATCAAAAGTGAATGTCTGTTCACTTGCTTATTGGTTCATTCTACACAGCTTAGACTAACCTGACAAGATTGAATAGATTCAGCCTTGGGCTTTTTGACTGCCTGTACTTAGCCGTAGTAAATAAGGTTTAGTCAGTTTGGAACAGAATTAAAGATACTGTAAATAACACTAAGTTCTATAAAAAGTGGACTTCAAACTATGTCCTTTTCTGCCATTCTGAGTTGCTAAAATGCATACATATTACCTAACCAGAGTGATAGATGCAGCCATTTTTAGTGACCTACAAACTACTATTCAATGATTTTACTAATTTGTATTGCATGAAGCATATTTGTTTAGAACATGCAGCTTGTAATTGTTGCAAATGTAAATTAAAGCAAAGTCCTGACTCTAAAGCAGGGGTGGCAAACATGCTTGGGCCCCTGATCTGGTTCTGGACTGCAGGACTCCTTTTGGGCGGGATTTGGATGCAATGCTGGCCACAGGGTGAGCAGCATCAGTGAACCACAGGGTTAGGGAGTTAATTCAGCCATCCCTCAGCCCCCACTGCCTCCATATATTCCCAATGGGGCTCCATGCCCTGGGTTTTGGCAGAAGGCCCCACCCCCAAATCCCAGACCTCTCTATAAGCCCTGTGAGCTAGACTGCATCGCTCTGTAGGCTAAATCCAGCCTACAGGCTGTTTGTATGACACCTCTGCTGTAGGACAAAGCCACTGCTGCAGTAAAGGATAATGTTACTCATGTAAAAACAGCAGCAGGTCATGGCCCTGCATGAGAAAATATCCTAAATCTCTTAAACAAGTTTAGAGCCTTTAATTTAAAAGGCTTGATGTCAAGTTATTTATTCCAAAATATATCATCAATTGGAAAGAGTAGTGGTCACCTCACCAACAAATTTGAAACAAAGACAAAATGAGAAACAATTAAAAAAATATAAAGGCTTAGTCAGCTCCTGAGTATTGGTAAAGACCATGCAGCCACATCAATTGAATTCCTTAAAGTAAACTTTCTGTTCTTATGCCAGACTCTAATAAGAATTTGTGGCAGGGGTTTGTGCAGTCAGGGGAGATGGTCAGGCCTGAAAGTAACTGTTTTACATTTGTGCAGTCATGTGAGATGGTCAGGCCTGAAAGTAACTGTTTTACTTTGGTGCATTACTTATTCTGAAGAAAGGAGAACTCCACACTGACTTTTACGAATTACTAGACAGTGTTATATTTGTGTTAAAACCTCCAGCGTTGTGCAAGATTGTGATACAGTTAGAGCTCTGCTCAGTCAGTGATGGTATTGAGGAATACTGGAAAATAACAACACCAAAAGGATTGTAAAAGGTATGCTAACTAGAAGAAGCAAACTCTAGCAACTTCCCACAATATAAAACAAAAAGAAAATAAAGACAGCTTGACTTCATGAAACTCTTTTTATTAACATCCAAAAGCACTCTAATTTTGTCATGTTACCAGGTTCTGAATGTCTTTTGAATTTTGTTGTTTTTTTTTGTTGTTTTTTTTTTGTGGTATTAGTAGTAGGGTTTGATAACTCCATTGACTGGCATTAATGTCAAGGACAAATTCCAACTTAAGTAACCAAAGCAACCATTGATTGTGTGTGTCACCTGCAGGTTAAAAAAGATATCCTAAGATGTTGTGCACCATTGCTGAGCACTGTAAAACAACCATGTCCAAATCCTTCCTCAGGTATGGCATAAAGTATGGGACAAGATCTGATTACTCAACACAGTTAAAATTGAACAACTGATGGTGGAGGGGAAATGAGTAAATGGAACACATCCTGCAAAAATATTTTCTTGCTGATTCACCCTGCATCATCATTAATGAGGCAATTGCATACATAGCCAAAGTAAATCCTTCAGAAGAATGAACCTTGTTTTTATTTAAACTCATAAACTCCATTCGATAAACATCTAATTAAAAACAAAGTGCTGTTTTTCATGCAGACTTTAATAAGAATGCTTGTCTCCAATTATAGGACATCACCACCTAGTGCAATTAAGAAAGCCTTTTTAACTGTTGTTTAATTTAGGGCAGTGGTTGTATCTTGGAAAAAATCCTGCAGGTTCTCATTCCTACGCTAGTTTTACCCTGGGGAGTGAAGGTTAAGTGCTCCATGAAGGATATGACCATTCAGTGTAGTGTCTATTATTTTTAAAAGATGTTTCCCTCCTAGTTGATTCCTGAGAAATTGGCAGGATGGGCAACTTTACTAATTGTAAACTAGGAAGATCAACATAGGGATTGGTGCAAAAGGTAGGACCATTTGGGGATGGCAAAAAAAGAAAGAAAGAAGAGACTGAAGGAGAGAATATATGTTTTAACATACTGAAATTTCTATTGGAAAAGCACAAAACATGCTGAATTACAGTGTAATTACAGTATGAACTGAGCCTAGTCAAACAATATGAGTTCTGCTACAGACCAATTTATACTAAAGTCATACACTGAGGAAGAAGGCATGCAGACATACAGATTAGGGAATTGTATAATGGGAAGCAGGGATTTTGAATAGAATTTAGTGACCATAATGGACAAACGAGTCATCATGGGCTGCCACTTCAATTCACTGCCAAAAAGAAACAATGGATAAAAAGGGGAGTAGGAGAGTAATTTTACTTCTGTAAAATGGTAAGACTGATACTAGTATAGTTGTAATCCTCACAAAACTCTACTTTTTCCTAACTTTATTATTCCTTACTTCCATGCTTCATTTTCACTTTGGTTGATTTTACCTTTTTTAACTACTCAAACAAGAAGGTAAAGATTGGAGACAGTTCAGAAAATAGCCACAAAAATTATTCAAGAATTGGAGAAAATGTTATATACTCTGACAGCTCCATAAAAAAATAGATTGAAAAGCAATTTGGTCACATTGTATCAATACTTTCAGAAAAAAAAAATACTAGGTACTAAGAAACAATTATTCTGAAGAAAAAAATTACCAAACACCACTAAAGGCTGGAAGCTGAAGGCAGACAATTTCAAATTAGGAATAAAACACATTTTACCGTTGAGGGCAGCTAACCACTAGTGCAGCTCCCCAGAGAAGTGGTGGATTGCCTATTACTTGAATACTACAAATCTAAACATTAATCTTTTTACTGAAGAACCCAGAAAGGCATATCGGGCTCAGCTAAATTGCTTGAAAGTAAATTTTATCAGCTTTTGAAGTACATGAGGTCAGGGTTTGAATTATACTTTGACTCTTTGGGGTTGCAAAAAAAACCCGGGCTGCCCATCATGTTGTCCTAATAAAATTAAAAACCTCCCCAGGTTATGATTTTCAAATCTTACAGAGGGGCTCTTGTCTCTTATGGGGGGCTCAGCCTCCCTAAGCTCACCTTTAATTTGACCCCTGCATAAAATAATACTAGGTGATCAAAACGTGTCTTTAGCCTTAATTTCTCTGATTCAAGCTTCTCTACAAACAGGACTGCAGGATACCAGAAAGGAGGAATAAATAGTGGTAGAAGCAATTCTAATAAATGAGCTACATGGGGGGAAACATTGCCACATAAGTGTATAGTTCCTAGAGAAGGCATGAAGACCACATGTAATATATGTACAGGGTACATTATGTTCCCAGTCTATTAGAGATAATCCACAGTAAACCCCTCAATACTTCACGTGAGTGGAATTTATGCCCAGCACCAAATCCAAAACCAGACAAGAGAGCTGAGTTGGAAAATACTGGAGGAAGAAAGGAACTATAGGATAAGAAACTGCTATTCTCTTTTCAGACTCTGCCCACATGTTGTTTTCCACTATTTATCATAGAGTGAGTCAGTCCTTTCACAAATATCCGTTGTGACTAAACAGAGGGCTGGCAAGAAGGGCAGATGGGAGGTCAAGCAGAGATGCAATTTGATTTGAAAGCCAGACAGCCAGCCCCAAAAAGAAAAACAGTTTCTTTTTGTACTAGAGCCTAGTACTTTGAAACAGCTTTCTGCATCAAAACAGAAGGGGGGGAGAGGGGGGTGGGGGGGCTGAAGCCTGTCTGGGAGCCTGTGCAGAAAACAGAAAGAATATACAGTTCTGGCCACTTCCCAGGGAATGTGAAACAACACACCTTCCATATGAAGAGAAGGTTTCCCAATACTTCCCCTTCTCCTTGGTACAAGTGGTATAACACTCCTGGGCGACCCCCATCTCAGAGGCAGATCACTGAAGCTCCCAGCCGGAAGCAGGAAGCCTGAGCAAGGGCTTACAGCCAGGATGAGCGCTCTCAAGGTCCAAGAGGGAGTGAGGGCAAATAAAAATATTTCTTAGAAGTGTAAACTGCTGTAAGGGAATGAGGGAAAATTACTCATGAACGAAAAAATAAACAGTGAAAAATAATTCTGACAGCAGATGCTGTTCTCTTCTTTCTCAATGCATATGTTTGTGTGTATGTGTGTGTGTGCACGCATGTGTGTGTGTGTGTGTGAGAAAGAGAGAGAGAAGACAAGGAATGAAATTGTTTCTGTGTTCAGCCCCACAGCTTCCTTCTCCCCTTTGTAAGTTGCACTATTAAACAAGCTCCTGAGCACCTTTGAAAATCTGGCCGAAAACATTTCCTCTTATCACTGTTGGCACTGGATTTGGACCCAGCCCCTATATCTTTGTTCTGGGCGAGCACAACCCTCAGACTGACCACAACACCTGCCAGTTGATAGCAGGCAAATTTATTGATACAAAGTGATAACAGAAAAGCAACAATACAAACAATCAAACCATTCTATATCTACCAATCCTACGGCTGTCATCTAAGTCAAGGTACATCTGGTCAGGATGCAGGTTCCACTCTGAGGCTCTCTTTCTTAGATATCAGCAGTCTGGAGGTGGGATGCCGAGGCCCACAGCTCCCTTCCAGTGGGGTGCATGAGATGGGCTGCTGGTGTGTGTCCTTTGTTCATGGTGGCCTTGGGGACCCTTCCTGGGGAATGGGGATGGGGATGGAGATAGGGATGGGGACCCTTCTGAGGGAAGAGAAGGAGGGATAGGAGGGATGGGAAAAAGGAGTGACCTTTTGTTACTCTCAAGTCTCTGCTTTTGTATTCTCCTTTCCCCTTGATGACTCCTGATGACTTCATCCATGGCTATCTCTGGTTGGCTGTCTCTCTGTGGTTACACATCCACATAGCCTTCTGGGCCTTTTCTAATTTGGTCTGTTCCCCCCCAAAACTAGGACTTGGCCCTGCTGTTGCTCTGGGGCCTTGTAGCTGGTGTCACTTATCTCATGTTATGGGATAGTATGGTACATACTTCCTCAGTTCCCAGGCAGTGTGTCCTTGTTGCGTTAGACAACCTGTCTGCCTTGAAGGCTGATCTTGTGTTATGGGATACACCCTCAGTTCTCAGGCTGTGTCCATCCATTGGCCTTGTTGTGCTACATAGCCTGTATGCTTCCAGAGCCATGAGAAGCTGTGTGTGTGTCTCCCAGGCTCTTTAGAAATCCATTTAACCCCGCTGCCCATCTTGGACCCTTATAATGCATATATCTATACCTATAAGCCAATTCCCCAAAAAACAGACCTTTAAATACCATTTCTAAGCCAACAATCACCACCTGGTAGGGTTTCACAGACCCTTGCCTTTGATGTATACTGACACAACAGTAAGTATTTTACCACTTAGAGATATTCTGTGTTTCACCAAAAAATTGAAGAAGCCTCTTCATAGATTTCATAGACATCAGGGCTGGAAGGGACCTCAGAAGATCATCGAGTCCAGCCCCACACCCAAAGGGCAGGAAGTCAGCTGGGGTCATCGGATCCCAGCAAGATAAGCATCCAGTTTCATCTTGAAGGTGTTCAATGAAGGCGCTTGAACCACCTCCGGTGGCAGGCTGTTCCAGACCTTGGGGGCTCGGACAGTAAAGAAGTTCTTCCTTATGTCCAGCCTGAAACGATCTTGAAGTAGTTTGTGACCATTCGACCTCGTCATCCCTTGGGGCGCTCTGGTGAACAAACGTTCCCCCAGATACTGGTGGTCACCCCTGATAAACTTGTAGCTGGCCATCAGATCACCCCTGAGCCTGCGCTTTTTCAGGCTAAAGAGCCCCACGGCTCTCAGCCTGTCATCGTAGGGTCTGCTTCCCTGACCTCTGATCATGCACGTGGCTCTTCATTTGGGAATGGCAAAATCTTAGAGGTCCCATTATATCTCAAGATCAAGCTTATTGATCATTATTTATCATGATGATCTTAATACTCTTCATATGCCAACTTTTAATCAGTTCATGAAATATCTATCAATTTTGATGTGCTTTCAGTAATTCGCTGTTTTATGATGTTTCATAACATTACAAGTAGGGCTGTGCAAAATTTCAAAACAGTGAAATCAAAATGAAACAAACAGCTTTGAAACAGCCTTGAAATGAAATGAGGGCAGTCAAAATGTTTCAAAAGTTTTGAAATGTTTCAAGTTTTGAAGCTGAAGCTGGGCTTGCCTGCAGGGAAACAGAAAGTAAGGAGAGGGAGGGGGAAGAGGGAGGAAGAGCTGCTCTGATATTGACTGTGACAGTTTGGCTGCCTGAGATGCTGCTGGTGCTAGTCTGCTGCTTACTAAATTATTACTGGGGTGTAGGAAGCAGGCCCTATTCGATTCTGATTTGGATTCGACCCAAATCAGGGACAGTGATTTGATTCATTGATTCGGATCACTGTCCCTGATTCGATTCAGCCAAATCCGAATCTGAAGCTTTGATGCTGATTCAGAGAATGAGCGACTCGGACATAGACACAGCTTTAAATGTTTTTTCTATATACCTTGAGGTACCAGCATGGCTGGTGAATGCTGTGCTGCTGAGGTGCATGAAGCATCCCACAGGAGTGCAGGGGGGACCTCCACGTGCTCGGCAGCAAACCTGAAAGTGAACCGGAAGGCACCAGTCGCCCAGCTGGGGGTGCATCGGGGGGGGGGGGGGGCCACGCACGTGCG